CCGCCTGCGCGGGGTGCTCCTGGCTGCCAGACCCTCATCTCCCCCTGTTCGGGCAGGGGCAGACCAGAAGGGGTTTGGGGCGGCGGACGTTTCTGGTGGCCGCAGCATCGCGGTGTCACTTGTTTCCCCGTCGGGTCCCCAAGGCTGTGGCAGCCGCCAGGCTGCGGTCGTTACACGAAATGAGGGCGGTCGGACTTCTCCCCCGGGGCTGGGAGCTTTCGGTCTCTAAAGGCTTTTAGCTTTTGGAAATTAATTTATTTCAGCTGGACGATGCCTCCTGTAAGGCCACCCTCCCCCCCCCGTGCTTAGGCACCAGAAACTCGTATTTCCTTTGGTCCGTCCCCAGCGAGCGTCACCACGTTTTCGGGAGCAAAGCCCTCGTGAGCAGCCTGTCTCCTCTCACATTTTTATTTGCATTTCAGCATCCGATCCAACGCAGCGAGTCTCACCGAGGGCAAAGCGCGCCTTTGGTTCCCCCAAGCCATTTGATCCCCACCGTGGTCGTTGCACACCCCGGGTCACCCTGACATGGATCTGGGGCGAGGTTTGGACACGGGTGTCCGGACCTTATTCCAGCAAACCCTTCGGCCAGTGATTCCCCGAGCCAGCCGGGGGCGGGATGCCTTGACTTTCCCGCAAGGGGAAAGAGCAGGGCAGGGCGTGGAGAAGGAAACCGTAAACAGGGTTTGCGTGAACGTGGTCACGTCCCCTCTTCCTTCATCGGTCTCTGCTTTCCTTCAGTCCCTGGCCGATGGTGTCCTGTTTGCCCAGCATCTCTGGTGCTCCCCTCACCGGTGGTGCTGGGCCACCTTAGGTGATGCAACTTGAATTCACGGTTACTGAATTAATAGAGGAAAGAAAGAGCCAGTATTAACAGGGCTCTGTTGTCCTAGCACCCTACCGGGGGTTCATCGTGTTGGGGCGGAAGGACCCAGGCTCCCGAAAGCGGCTCGGAGAACCGGGGTGGTTAATTTTCTCTAATGGCACTTAATGATTTTTCAGGAGGCAACCACCAAATCCTGCTTGCTAATCCCATTAGTGTTTCGGGATAGTAATTAGTGCATTAAAGGCAGCTTCTTCTTTTCTCTAGCAGAGGCGTGCTGAAGTTTTAGCTGTTTATTAGCCTGAATGCCGTGGCTAATGCTTTGCCTGGCGCAGAGAAAAAGTGGCTTTTTGGGGCTGTTATCAGCTAATTCTTGTTTTATGGCAGGGTCCGTGCAATGCACGTGTTGTAGAGTAGGGTTTTTTTTTTAGTGTCATAACTTCTGCGGTGTCCGAGTCCTCTGTGCTCTCTGCAGGAGGGAGGTTTCCTCCTGACCTCAAACACGAAATGGAGCTCATCCCTGAAAAACTATTTCGGGCCTTCTCTGATCAACCCCTTCTAGTTTTAGCTGTGCCAGTGAGCTCTTGGTTTGCTTCGGATCGTGGCTTCCTGTTCCTTGTATCGCGTCCCAGCGTGGAAAGAGGTGCTAGACCTGCAGAGCTGATAGTCTGGGGACACTGCTGGGGACCCCAAGTGCGGGGTGGGATCTCCTGGGGTGATTTTGGGTCTAGATTTACCCCCATACTGCATCTTTGCTGACCGCTTTCTGGTGGGACCCGTCTGAAACTCTCCCAAGAGGGAGGCTGGTGTCCCTCAGGCAGATTTATCTCCTCGCCTGGCGTCCTTCACCACCTCAGGATGGGGTGAAATGGGCTCTGGGGAGCCAGGGATGCCCTTGGCAAAAGCAAAAAGCGCTCTCGCTGTGAGCTGTGGGTCAGTATTGACGGAGGGAAGCTGTCAGGGTGCTGCAGGGCTGCCCCCACAGATTTTTCCATCTCGGTGCAGGCACAGAAGTAAATCACCACCATATACCTGGGAGAGCAGCAGCAGCAGCGACCAGGTCCTCTCTGGAGCAAGGCCACCACGTACCACTTGACTCTTGATGACAGCTCATAAGTTTGCTTGTGTTTTGTGTTTCGGAGCTTATTTCTAGGGTTTAATCCATTGTTTTTGTATGCTGAAATCTTCTGAAGCAGGGGTTAATTTTTTTGAGCTTACAGCCTCAGATTTTCCTGCACGGAGCCTCCAGCTGTTGACCGTAACTCTGGGGTACGGAACATTACTCCTAAAAAGATCCCCTGGCTTCCATAAATCCACAATCCATAAACATCTCATGAATGGTCTTGAAACGGAAACAAAACATTTAGAGTGGTTGATAATATAATGCCCATTTAATACCTCATGAATTCCACGGGCCATTTAAATCTTTCATGGATAGTTAATGATTATTCATCAGCAAGAAGTCAGAGAAAAAACAAACTCTGAATGGAAGGTCTTAAAAATACATTAGTTGGGGAACAAAAGCCAAGCTAGTTAAGAGCGAGCTCAAGAGCGTGTGCTAACCCTTGGAAGGGCGCGTATAAAATAGCCCTCCGGAGGCAAGATCTGCCCTGGGGTGTCCTGGGCCAAAGCGGTGGTTAGGTGGTCTTCATCCTTAGACCCATGCGAAGGGGAGGTGAGCCCAAAACCTCCTCCGCTTCCCAGTTGTGGTTCCTTTTGCCAGTCTGGTGTCCGGCCAAATTCATGAACTCCATGGCCTTCAAGGAATAGCCTCTGGCAAGCAGCTGGGGAGGGAGGATCGGAGCGTATCGATGATGAATTCAAGCAGCGTGACCTGACACAGCGGAGCCCCAGAGGAAATGCTGAACTCTCCCGAGGGCTAAAGTGAAGCAGCTGCTGGAGAGGACGTGCAGTTTTTGTGGTGTACCTAGGTCAGGTTTGGGCTGGGAGGAGGCTCCTCCAGCTCAAGGCAACTTTATTTTAGTTAAGTTTTCAATGAAGTCTCCTTATCCTGTATTGTTGCAATCGCATTCGAGGCGTGGATGCAGCTAGGGTTAGGTGTTCTGGTGGAAAAGGCTGTTTATCCAAAGCCTTAGATAGTCATCTTCCTTGCCTTTAGCCTTGTTGACGCTGAGGTGGTGTTTTGGTACTAGTTTTCAAAATCAGGTTCAGGATATCCTGGATGGATGAAGTCAGATACGAAGTTCACATCTGATCTGGTGATAGAGCACGTACCTATTTTCTTCTTTTCCTTTTCCCTTGTATTATTTCCAACTCTGAACCGACTCTAACTCGACACTTTCTCTGCTGTGGGGTTGTGTTTTTTCTATCCCACATAACAGAAACCCCTAAGGACCCGGTATCTCCTGCGGCGCTTGGCCAAGTCTAGTGTAGGATCCTACTTGGGGCATCTAGGCGGAGAGGAGAAAGACCGAGTCATAGACTTGCAGAAACCTAGGACCGGAGGTCTTCTCCCCCGTCCCCACCACACCGAGCAGCCTGTGGTTAGACTGTCCTTCAGAGTTAATCATCTACGCTGGTCTTAAATGCTACTGAGTGATAGGTCATTTATTCTGCTGCTCTGCAACCTTTATAATAACGATATTTTCCCTTGTATCAATTCCAATCAGCGCTTCTACCAGGTAGATCAATTATCTGATATTCTGCATGGGCTGGATTTGATAGAGCGGCACAGAGAGAGCTCTTGTGCCTGGTGTCTCTCTGACATTTCCCAGGCTTGGAAAGGCAGGTGGGCTCTCGGGCTTCGGGGACGAGCAAGAGATTGATGTTTGCAGAGCAGGTGGATGCAGCGGGACACTACCAACAAGTGCAGATAATCCATATGCAGCATCTTCAGCCTTGTGTTATTCATCCTGTATGGTGTCTGAAAATGTAGAGACCCGCCTGGTACTTCTG